GTGCACGGCGAGGCGGGCGGCGGCGGCCCCCGGCCCGCCGCGGCGGGCGCGGCGGCAGCAGCGGAGCAGCGCGGGGCCGGCGCGTCCGTGGCCTCGTGGGCGCCCAGCGCGGAGGAGCTGGAGCGCTACGCGGCGGTGTTCGCGGGCGCCGCGCAGGCCCGCGAGGGTTAGGTCGGGCACGTCCTTCTGCGGGCGTTTTTTGTGGACGAAAGGTGCAGCATGTTCAACACATCATGCAGAGTGGTCCAAAAGTGATAGAAAGATCGTCCCCTTTTTTTGTAAATAATTCGAAGTGGTTCAAAAATGATAGGAAGATCGTCCCCATTTTTTTTGGGGGGGGGGGCTGTTTTGAATGCTCTTCCTGTGGAGGGGCATGCCCGACTTAGCGCGAGGGTGGGGGGGCTCCGCGCAGTGTGGCGGCCCAGGCCCAGGCCCAGAGCTCTCCGGCGCTCTCGCGTTGAGAGGCCTCCCTCTCTCTCTCTCCCTCCGCCTCTCGGGTGGGGATGTCCGTGCAGACGTGGCCGGACGGTCGCGCCGCATCACCGACGCATCTGCGATGCGGCTCGATGTGGAGCCCCACTTCTGCCGCACGCCGACGGCGCCGAGGCATCGGCGAGGCTCCGACCCCATCTGCCCGGACCCCACTGCGGAGGCCTCTGGCCTTCGCCGCCCTCCCCCTCCCCCCGCCCACTCTCCCCCCCTCGTGCCCTCTCCCCGCCCCCTCTGCCCTGCCCCACAACCTCGGTGCCGGGGCAACGCCGTCTGGCCCCGCGGCCACTAATGGCCTGCGACGCAAGACTGGTTCCTGGGACCGTGGTCGAGAGCTCTGGGGGACCACGCCGTAACATAATCGCGACGCGGGAGGGCTGGAGAAGGGTCGCCAGGCCAGGGCCGAAGATCTCGATTGTACCGTAAGTTTTGCGCAGGTGGGCCCAAGGTTTGTGTCGATCCGGGGCAGGCTTCGGACCTGGCGACCCTCTGCGGGATTCCCCCGCGGACTGGGACGACCTTGGGCCCCTGGGAGGGCCGAGCAGTCCTCACCCCACAGACTTTGCCCGTCGCGGGGAGCTCTGCCCGGCGCTGCTCGAGGCCCCCCTGAGCCAGGGGGGCGCAGTGGTCGGCCCTGACAGGGGCCGCGAGGTGTTCGAGCAGTCCCAGCTGCCGACTCCAGAGCTGGCGCAGATCTGGCGGATGGCGGACGTCGACAACGACGGCGCGCTGGGGCGCGGCGAGTTCCTGTGCGCCATGACGATGGTGGGCAAGCGGCTCGGGGGCGCGGAGCTGCCTGTGGAGCTGCCTCCCGAGCTCGCGGAGCTCGCCCGCGATGGCGGTCCCCTCGGAGTGGCGGCCCCAGGAGCGCGTTATTGGTATCACTCGTGCCCTGAATGCTCGTCTTCCCTGTCTTCCAGTTAACGTGCCCCTCTACAGCGTTGTGGTTGCACTGTCTTTTTATTGTTGCCAGCCGCCAGGGCAGCCAGCGTGTCCAGGGTGCTCTGACCCCTTTTTGTGGTGGATGGGTGGTGCCCGTTGTCGGCGCAGTGGGGCATCACCGCAGGGTCAGCTGCAATATTTTCAAGGGAAGCGTGTAGCAGGTCGAAATTATTCTTGCTTCGTATCCCCACCTTTCCATTCAGAAAGGTTGCCCATGAGAGTTTCCGGCAAACGGGAACAAGAGACGCGTATAGTGAAACGAAGCGGGAGAGCAGGGGGAGGAGGTCGTTTTGGAGCATCGGAGGCAGGAGTAGGGCAACGAGGACAAGTTTTTTTTAGCCATTTTGGTGTCTTCTTTGGGCACTCTTGGGGTCCTCTTGGGGTTTGCTTAGGGTCCTCTTGGGGCCCTCTTGGAGCTCTTTTGGAAGGCCCTGGGATCCTCACAGGGCTCTGTCGATATGTATTGGTGCCCTCTTTAGGCCCTCTTGGGGCTTTTTTGGGGGTCCTCCTTGGCGGTCCTGTAAGGCTGTAAGGTCTCTTGGGGCCATATTGTAGTGCGTCGGTCAAAGGAGGGGGGGTCCCCGATTTGCCTTTCCCCCTCTGGGGCCATCGAACTCGCCCCTCGGAGCGCTCTTGTGGCGCTCTTGGGCCGTTTTTGGGCTCTCTTGGGGCCTTTTTTGCTCTCTTGGGCCATCTTTGGGCCATCTTGAGGCCTTAAAAATTCCCATCGGAAGCCAACATGCGGGAAACAATCATTGGTTTTCCATCGGTAGTTGAAGGATTTTGGCCTCTTGGGGGGTCCCGAGGGGGCTCCGAGAACACTTGGAACCGTCTTGTGGCCCTTGTCGGGCCTCTTGGAGGTATGTCGGAAGCTAGCTTGAAACATCTTCGGCTATCTTGAGCCATCCTGGAGGCCATCTCGAAACAGCGGAGGCTCTTGGAGCCATCTTGGGTGAAAAAGGACCATCTGACCCACAAAAAGCCTCAGGGAGACAAGGGGGAGGGTACCCCTCCCCGAAGGGAAGAAGGGCTTCGGAAGAGGACAGAACGAGATCGTTAGACCACTTACGCCCAAATGGCTGGTGGGATCCTGACGGTAGGCGCTCCGTGTCCCCTCTCGGCTCGCGGCCCCCGTTTTGTGACGGGCCGACGGTGTGCGGCAGCTTGTGGTGGTGCCGCGGTGCTGCGCTTCCTGCTGGGTGCGCTCGGGCCGGTCGGCTGCTCTTGGCCCGCTCGGGGCCCCAGCGGCCCCGCGGCACAGCTCTGCACGAGGCTCACTTGGCTGGCCGAGGTCTCTCTGCAGGGCGGCAGGGACTCGTTTGCCCGTGGCCCTCGCGGCAGAGGTGGCTCGGGCTGCCCGCGGCCGGCGTGGCCCCTCGGGGTGGCCCTCCCTGGCAGTTTCGGCTGCCTGTGGCGCTTGGCCCCTCGTAGGCCGTCGCATGCGGGCTGCCTGCGAGAGCGGGGTCAGGATCCCCGCTGCCCATGGCCCCTCGTGGCCCCTCGCACGTGGCGTGGCGTTTCAGGCCTGAGCTGTGCTGCCCGTGCGCGGCGGGCCTCCGCGGCTCCTCAGAGGTCCGGGGTGGTCTTCCAGGGTGGAGTCCGATGCGCCCGACCCGCGTGGCCCATCGTGGCCAGCAGTTCGTGGGCCGGCCTCAAAGTATACAGTCGAAACCAATGGTAAGGATACATCCCCAGGACGAAAGCTTTTTCCTCCCGGGCCAGGAACGACGGCTTCAGGTCTTGAGCAGACGCGTATGAGACGACCGCCGTCGGATCCCATGAGGTTCGCGCGGATCCAAGTGTGGCTTTGGTGTTTTGTTTCGGTGGATCCGATTTCCGTCCGCGCGGATCCGATTTCGGATTTGCTGGATGGGGAAGGGGGCTCGGTCATTAAATTCCAAGTCATCATCGCCATTTGCACCTCAAGAAGAAAATCTTTTGTCCTGCGTAAGTGCGTTTCTGCCCTGCGTTTCCTGGCCCAATGGACTGCCTGTGAGATGTGGTGTGTCGGCTATGTGGTAACCGACAACGGACTGCCTGTGAGATGTGATGCGCCAGCTATGTGGTGACCAACAGGTCCGAAGGCTAAAACGCTCAGTGCGCTTCGGCCCTGCGTCTCCTGACCCAGCGGACTGCTGGTGAGATGTGGCGTGTCGACTATGTGGTAACCGACAACGGACTGCCTGTGAGATGTGGTGTGTCGGCTATGTGGTGACCAACAAGTCTAAATGCCAAAACGCCCATCCCCACGACGAAGGTTTTCCTCTTGGGCCAGGAACGACGGCTTCAGGTCTTGAGCAGACGCGTATGAGATGACCGCCGTCGGATCCCATGAGGTTCGCGGATCCAAGTGTGGCTTTGGTGTTTTGTTTCGGTGGATCCGATTTCCGTCCGCGCGGATCTGATTTCGGATTTGCTGGATCCGTGTTTGGTCTTATCTTTTACGGTGGATCCGATTTTTACACCGTTTTAAATTTATATGATTAAATTTAAGCGGGCCCCGGAGGAAATCGCATCCGCGGACCCCGGGACCCGCCCGTGTTAAGATTCTACGGGGGCCTTGGCTCGGTCATCAAAGTCCATATCATCATCGCCAAATTGCACCTCAAGAGGAACATCTTTCGTCCTGCGTACGTAAATCACCATCCCTACGGTACCCTCGCATCCTCGCTTCCTCGGTCCACCCTTAACCCCCTTCGATGGCCAGCCCCGCTCGAAAAAGCTTCGACGTGGGCGTCCAGGGGGCTTGCATCCTTACCGCGCGCCCCTGCTATCAAATTTGACTGAACTCGGCCGCCCGTGGCCCCCATTGCCCCTGGCGACCACTCGGATGCAGGCGGGCCTTCGGCTGCCGACAGCCTGTACGGCACCCGGTGGCCTCTGGCGCGATCGACGGCCTTTGGGAGCGGAGGCCGCGCCCCGTGGCCCGTCGTTCACGGGGTTGTCTTCAAGCACGGGTTCGGCTGCCCAGGGGCTGTGCCCCGTCGTGGCCCCGGGCGTGCGGGACGGCCTTCCAACGTGGACTCGCTTGCCCGTGGCCTGCTCTCTCTCCTCGTGGCCCCTCGCGCGAGATGGCCTTCGGGAGCGGCTTCGAACGCCCGTGCCCCGTGTCCCGTCGTGGGCCCCTGCGCCACATCGGGGCCCCCCGAAGCAGCTGGTAGCTGCCCGAGCTTGTTCTCTCCTGCCGTTGTCGAGGAGAGAAGGCCTGGCCCGCAGAAACGGACAATGCCGTGCCTCTTGGCCCGGGGCCCCGCGCGTGCGGGCAGGCCTCCAGAGGCGGAGCCAGCGGCCCGTGGCCCGCGAGCCCCTGGAGTGCCGGGTGGCACGAGAGGCCGGAATTGTGGGCCCCTGGCCCGTGTCAGCCGCCCCGCGGCCCAGCGCATCTTCTTCTCCCGCGGGCGTGGTGCTTCGGCTGCCGGCGGCCCGGGGGGGCCCCTTCTGGCCTGTGCTTCTGTGTGTGTGTGTGTAAAGGTCTTGCTTGCCCACAGGGTTTCCAGCAACACATTCGTATAGCTATGGAGAGCACCGACCAGGGATGACCACCAGTTCTAACACACGGTGCTTTCATTGGTAAGGAATGCACTGTGGTCCATTCAACGAAAGGAGCAGCCCAAGCAGCGGCACCAACCACCCGGACCGCAGTGTGTGTGTGTGTGCCCGCCTTCGGGCGCAGAGTCGGCTGCCCGTGGCCTGTAGCCCCTCGTGGGCCCGTGCACGAGGGCTGCCTCTCGGCAGCAGATGCCGGCTGCCTATGCGCCCCCCTCGGTGGCCCTCCTCTCTTCCGGTTCGACCCTGCCATGGCCCGTCGCATCTCTCGTATTGTGTGTTCGTTTGTTTGTTTGCTTTGTTGTTTTTTTGTTCGCGTGTTGGCTCGTTTGTTTGTTTGTTTGCTTGTTTGCTCACTTGCTTGCTTGCTTGTTTGTCTGTCTGTTTGTCAGCGTTATTATTTTTTGTTTTTTTTTGTTTTTTTTGTTTTTTGGTTTTTGTTTTTTTTCTTGTTGTTTTTTGTTTTCTGTAGGTTTGTTAATTTGTTTGCTTGGTTGTTTGTTTGTTTGTTTGTTGGTTGGTTTGTTTGTTTTTTTGTTTGTGTGTGTGTGTGTGTGCGTGCGTGCGTGCGAGCGTGCGTGTGTGTGTGTGTGTGTGCGTGTGCGTGCGTGCGTGCGTGCGTGCGTGCGTGCGTGCGTGCGTGCGTGCGTGCGTGCGTGCGTGCGTGCGTGCGTGCGTGCGTGCGTGTGTGTGTGTGTGTGTGTGTGTGTGTGTGTGTGTGTGTGTGTGTGTGTGTGTGTGTGTGTGTGCGTGCGTGCGTGCGTGCGTGCGTGCGTGCGTGCGTGCGTGCGTGCGTGCGTGCGTACGCGCGTACCCGTGTGTGTGTGTGAGAGAGAGTGTGCGCGCGTGTGTGTGTGTGTGTGTGTGTGTGTGTGTTTATGCGTGTGTGTGTGTGTGTGTGTGTGTGTGTTTTTGTTGTGTGTGTGTGTGTATGTATCCCGCCGCGGGTTCACCGCGCTTCCGATTATGCTCGATCGCAATTCGCACTTCCATCTGCTGTCCGCGCGTGAGGACCCTATGCGCCGCTGACTTACAAGTGTGCCCCGCTCGGCGTCCCCCACCCAGCGACTGGCCCCAGCCTGGCGGACATCGAGAACGCCTCCCGGGTGCCATTTTGATGAGTGGAGAGATGGGTTCTTCGGGCCGCCAGACCCGTGACTGAGGGTGCGCCACCTTTTCCTGTTATCGGGGGGCTCAATGCCCCTGCTGCCTCGTGCGCGGATCTGCCGGCTCCCGGCGCGGGGCCTCGGGCTCGTCTGCGCCCGACTTCAGTCGCCAGCCTCCCCCGCCGGTTGCAGCGCCTTGCCTCCGGCGCCGCCGCCCTCTCCGCGTGCCCTTCGGCGCCGGCTCTCGACGCCCGTCTCTCTTTGCGGGTCCGCCCTGCGCCACGCCCCTGAAGCCTCGCGTGTGGTACTGCCCGCTCTTGGCGCGTGGTCTCGCTCTGCGGCCGCCTCCTGGGCTGCCGCCCGCCACCCTTTGTGTCTGCCCCCCTCGTGGCTTGCCGCCTCACCCCAGCTGGCCCTGCCCCCAGCACTAATTCGCAGCTTGCCTCGCCTGCGCGGCGCCTGCGCAGGTCTTGCCCTGCAGCCAGGCTCTCCCGCAGTAATTACTCTTGGCGCGGCCTTCGACATTCAACCAGAAGCCCTCGACGACGCAGCGCCACTCTTGTGGCTCGACCTTTGTCCTGTTGCTGTGTGCGTGGGCCTGCCCGCTGCGTGCGCGGGGCTGCGAGCCCGTCTGGGCCCCTTACCCGACTCCCGCCCCTCCTGTACAGCTGCGCGCCGCCGCTGTCCCTCGGCTGCGCCGCTCCTGGGTGCGCCCGGCGCATCGCCGCCGCTGCCTCTTGCGTAGATCTGCCCGCTTTGGGCGTGCGGTGTCGCTGCGCGGCGGCTTCCTGGCTTCTGCCCGCCCCCTCTGCGCCTCCCGCCTCGCCCCAGTTGGCCCCGCCCGCCGCGCTGATTCGCTGTCGCCCTGCCCGCCCTGGTCCTGCCGTGCGGCATGGGCTGCCGTTGCCGCGCTGACGCGGTCTCCGAACGAGCCCCCGGGCGCCCCGCGGCGTCGATCCAGCGTCGCCCCGCGGCCCGCCGCTCCCCCTCGGGCGGTGCCGCTCTTTCGGCATCCGCGCCTCACCCGGCCTCTCGGCCTTTCTGTTCGCCTGCGGCCCCTTGTTCCGGCCCCTGTTTCGCCACTCCCCGGGGGCGGTGGCCGCCCTCACGGGGCGGTGGCCGTTTTTTTTGTTGTTGTTTGTTTATCTTCTTTTTTTGTGTGTTAAAAACAAAAAAGTATTATATATGTATGTATTACAACATGTTGTTGTTGTTTTTAGTTTTTATGTTTTTTTTGGTTTTTGCTTTCTTTTTTCTCTATTGTCTTTTCTTTTTGTTTTTTGTTTGCCGCTTGTCTTTTTTGTTGTTTGCTTTTTGTTTCCTGTTTTTTGTCTTTTGTTGTTGTTTCTCTTTTGTTCGGCCGCCGGCCGTGCGCCCAGCGGTGTGACGAGCGCCCCACCCTGCGACGCTCGACAAG